GTACTTGCCAACAAGAATGGTAAACACAGTTTTCTTTTTTAACACAAATACATTTTGATATACACACAACAGTACAATTTACAAACTTACAAACAATATAAAGTCTTCTTTCTAGTCTGGAACTTCTTTGATATCTTATTGGGGGTTCACGATGAGCGAGTTAATTACGAGTTGATGTAGACACGATTTGCTGGGAAGCTAGCTAGCTTTGTCCTTTGCCACACATGCTGAGCTCTCCACGATGAATTTATATGTTTTCCTAAAAATACTAATGACTGATGAGAATCCACTGAAGTTAGACGACTTGTAATGTTTGAAATTTATAAATATTCCTGGTCAAAGATCTTAAGTTTTCTGATTGATAAGCGTTATAACAATCACAGTTATAGCTTTTGAAGTTTGTAGCACACTGATTATAGCGAACTTCTAATAGCCACACACACTTTGGCATGTCACGTTGGTTGTATTTATAGGCATGGGTAGGTTTTTTAGAAAATTCAGATTACATAACAATACTGAGTTATATTTAAATGTTCACGTATTTAGAGATATTGTTGATTCTCATTCTCGAGAATCTTCTTCAACTTTGGAGAATACATATCTAACACTACAAGTTATGCATGTTTTTAAATATAAACTGAATTTAAACAACGTTATATTAAAATAAATACCTAACAAATTTGTTACATACTACTACACTAAAGTTTGTATTTAATTAAGTAATGTACATAAGAACACAGAATAATAACATGCACAAAGCAAACAATGTCGTATAACTATCATAATTTTTTGGCTTTCTAAATTTGTGATAGAACCTTTAATAATTAAGCTAGGCTTGTTGATGTGATTCATGTGAGAAAAAATTTCGAACTGGAGGTGAAATAGACAATTTTGCACAAAAAACAATGTAATATAATACGTCATTTGATAGATTAAAACTTTGTCTTTCTGTTGATTATAAATAACACTGTACAACAAAAAATATTCCACTGGAGAAAACTGAAGGGATTAGGGATAATTTGATGGTGCTGATTTTAAAAGATTTAGTCAGAATTTGTCCATCACCTCTAGATTTTAAGTTATTATAATATCTCCATATTTTATCAGCATTATGTGAAATACCAAGCAAATAATTCAGTATAATAGATTTATACTGTGAAATTAAGTTTACGTGAGCAGTTTAATGGGTAAAAGGCATACAGTTTGGTAATTTCAAACATTGACTGTATTGTATTGGTGTAAAATGACAAATATATTTTTAATATATGGTATTTGCTCTCAATATAATTGTAGCAAATTTCACCACTTTTGCTTTATTCCTATGCTCACCTGCTCCACTCAGAAATCATGAAAACCTAATGTGCTCAGTTTGCTAGAGAAGTCTCTCAACTGAGCATTAAAGGGGTGTGTCAGATGCCTCTCACTCATTCAGTTGGTCACTTCCTCTTGCTTCGCACAACTCCAAAACAAAATTCAATCTTCTTCCTTACATCATACCCACAATATAATCAGAATCGGCAATTTTTTCTTTTTAACTCTATATCTGTAAACATAAGTTCTTTTGTATTTTTTTGGAAAATCACTGCAAAAGTGTAAAAATCGCTCAAACAGTTTTTGCTACATTTGTGGAAAATGTATTACAGTTTCACAAAGTAAAAACATCACACACTAGGTAAAAATAGCTTACCACCACTATTTTGGGGGTAAAATTGGTGATAAAAAAAACATTGGGGTCCACTATTCTATAATTTACATGTCTGGCTTGACACAGTGGCTGAATAAGAAGAGAGCAAGTATGCCATTTGCAGTTCCAATGATATGGCGTGAGCCCAAAGATTATGTAACTGATTGTTATCTTTGCTATACTAATGTTTTTGAATACTCAGGCAAAACTAAACAATATTTTAAATATCCAGATATTCCATCTGCAATGAAACCAGTACCCCATGGGGATGGTCTTCCACATCCACCATTAAATTGGGGAAACAGAAGAGTTATCATGTGAAGAAAACAATGAATCATCTTCATCCTCTTCATCTAGTTATTCTATTACTAAATGATCTGATTCGTGACTTGTCTCTAACAAAGCAGCATGGGGAACTTCTTGGCTCTTGTTTACAGCAATGAAATTTATTAGCTCCAGAAACAAGAGTTTCAATTTGTTGAAGTCTTGCACTATGTTTCTGTACAAATGCTGATGCACTAATGGAATAATTAGGTCCTGAACATCATCTTCAAGAACAAAGACTCATTTAAAGTTAGTCTGAAAACCGTACTTTTGCACAAATGGAATACCAAGTGATCAATTCCTGTTGCTCATGCTTGAAACAAACTTATCATGGCATGCAAATTATATATTCTTAAATATAATTTTCAATGAATAAGTAAGGTTATTTGCACAATATATAAGAATAACTTGAAAACTAGAAGTGATCAGTAATTTACAGCATGATTTTTAGAATTAGCATCATCAAATTACTCAGAAATAGTTTCATTTTATGTTATACTAGTATATAAGCCCATCAGAAATGACTGGAAACCATTGTTGAATGATTAACGAAAATTACATAATTTAACTAAAATGAATTTGTCTGTACCTCCAAAATGCACCTACTCTTCACTTATTTCATAAGTTTAGAAGTAATTCTTTAATCACTACATTTATAGTAAAACTGTGCAGAAAAATGAAATGTTATCATTGAACAAAAGTATGTGTGCATTGTTAAAGAAACAAATAACATTCTCTTCACTGTGTTGTAGGTCAGGAAGTAGAAAACAAAATGTCAACTGTACAAAGGATAAAAGATATTTGGTAGTAATAAACATGTATGTTTTAAAGTTTCATTTTATTTTACTTTTGGCTACAACTAAATCTCATAAAACTTCAGAATTAAACTGTTTTGCTGTTATATCACCGAAGTTATCAAAAAAATGAAGAATAAAAAACAAACCTTTCTAACAAATCAACATGAATATTGAACATTCGACATAAACACCATAGTCAGCCTTAGAACAATCAGATGACAGTTTTGTTGTTAAGTGACGATGTATGTTGTTGAGCATTACCAAACAATATAGTTTTATAGTTAGTGATTACATTGGGCAACAAAAAAAATATTCTGCTGCTACAAAAAATGCATCTGTTTTTGAGGTGGGTGTGGAATTGTATTTCAAAGAACTTGAAAGCCTATTCACTATATGACTTTTGTGGGTTTACCCCACTTTCAATGTTATTGTACTATATGTTTTTTTAATATGGGTATTAATAGAACTTCAATAGAACAAATGACTGTTTTAGATTAAACTTGGCTGTCTCTTGTATTTTCATGCTTGTGTGCATTTTGATGGTACTACTTTGTAAAGCTCTCACTGTTTAAATCATGGTAATAACACATATCTCGCACCATATTCGAGGAAATAAAACTAATATAGGAATGAACATTTTGGATACATTTAAACTGCTTTATACAGCTCCTGCTTACTTTAATAAAATTATAGACTGAAATTATATTCACCCTCTTTAACTATATAAAAACATAAGTTTGTATAGAGCTCTCCTAATTCCCTATACCTAAACCAACTTTGGGTAAATTACTTTTCAACAGTACTCCAATCTAGTTTTTCTGAGCTGTAAATAAATTAGAATTAATTTTAATCCAACAACACATTTAGTATTTTCTCAATTTACTTGATTTGAACAGTGTTCAGTGCCCTTGGAACTATTTCCTCTGTTCATTCTGATGGCCATGATTAAGTACTACGTGTACTGCTCAACACTGCAGTTTTCATTCTAACAAGTTTTGTGCAAGACAACAAGGTTAAACCTAGATCATACATCTTGACCATTCCATGTATGTGGACAGCTTCTTAAACTTAAGCTTAGGTAAAACTAAAACAAAGAAAGCGTGCAATCAGCTGATTTCACAGGTATATCGGAAAAAGGGGCAGCATGACCACCAATTTCATTTTCCATTGCTCATAGTTATGGGTTTAGAGGTGTGACATGATGCTTTATCTTGATGTAGCCACATCTTTTGGGCATCCTGGCTATTCAGTGCAGGAATCTGAGGTTGCCATATCATCTTGGCTTCTTAGCCATGTAGTACAGGAATCTGATGAACCCATATCATCTTGACATCTTAAACATGTAGTACAGGAATCTGATGAACCCATACCATCTTGACATCTTAAACATGTAGTGCAAGAATCTGATGAACCCATACCATCTTGGCATCTTAGCCATGTAGTGCAGGAATCTGATGAACCCATATTGTCTTGACATCTTAAACATGTAGTGCAGGAATCTGATGAACCCATATTGTCTTGACATCTTA